CCTCTTCCATATCCAAGTCTGCTTTCCTTACAATATGTTCTGCATATAAGTCAAATAGGTAGGGTGATAGGATGCAGCCTTGTCTTTGTCAATTGGGAACCATTCTGTTTCTCCATCTTCTGTCCTGACAGTAGCCTCTTGTCCTGAGTTCAGATTCCTCATCAGGACTATCAGATGTATTGGCATTCCCATGTCTTTAAGGGCGTTCCATAGCCTTTCATGATCTATTCAATCAAAGGCTTTGCTATAGTCTATAAACTGTTACCATTATAGCATATCAAATGGTGGCTATACTGGCTGGAGGATTCTGGGAGCTGTGCTCCCCCCAAAAGGTAACTTTTCTAAGCTCCTGTGGCCAAGCATAGCTGTAATATGAAGTCCCATTTCTCTCTGTTTTCTGTACTTTCCTCAGAGATAATTTGCCAGCCAAGAAGCAAACATTTCTGGCTTGTTTATCAGCTTCAGTCCAGTGAGACCAGAAAGACGGACATAACCATTGCAGCAACACAGCAAAGCAGAGTAATTCAGAGTGTCATTAACATTTCAGTCACTCTCCAGGTTTGAAGGGGACCCTGGTGACTTCAGAAGTTTGCCACAAATGTCAAGTCTCCTCAGGGAGGTAATAAACGGTGATGTCTCCACTGCCTGCAAGATTCAGCACATCCTTTGTTTACCAGAAAACACTTGCTCTTTGGACTCTGGAAGTTAATGACTGCTCTGGATGGGGCTCAACTGTGAAAACAGAATCTTAACTCCTTGACCTACAGAGCACCTGAGATACGGTGTTTGTTGTTAGCTGCCCTTGAGTTTACCTCGACTCATGGTGACCCGGTGGACGAGACGTCTCCAAGACCTTCTGTCCTCCACTGATCTGCTTAGACCTCTCTGATGGAGTTGATCCATCTGGCATGTGGTCTTCCTCTCTTTCTATTGCCTTCAAGCTTTCCAAGCATTATTGTCTTTTCCAATCAGGTGTGCCTTCTCATGATGTGTCCAAAGTACGACAGCCTCTGTTTAGTCATTTTTGCCTCCACGGAGACTTCTGGCTTCATCTGTTAAAGGACCCATTTGTTTGTCTTCTTGGCCATATACAGTCTCCTCAGCACTCTTCTCCAGCACCACATCCCATGTGTTGATTTTCTTTTTATCCACTTTCTCCACTGTCCAGCAACCACATCTGTACACAGCGATGGGGAATACAGTGGCTTGGCCGAGTCTAATTTTAGTGCTCAGTTATATATCTTTACTCTTTAGGATCTTGCCTCATTCTTTCATGGCTGCCCTTCCTATTCCCAGTTTACTTTTAATGGCTTGACTGCAATCTCTGTTCCTATCAGTGTTTGATCCAAGGTATGGGAAATCTTTAACTATTTCAATTTCTTCATTGTCTAGGTTGAATTTATGTAGACCCTCCATGATTCACACTGGGACCATTTCCAATTTGACATCCTGTTCTTGTAATACAGCTGCATTACCTGACCTGAAGTTGACAAGATTACCTGGGTGAAAGTTGAAATAAATGATCCCCTAATATTTCCATTTTCTTGGGACATGGGCTTCCATTTCCTCACTGGTTCCATCCGAAGTTGTTGTCTTTTGCTTGTGTGGGTTGTGCCTCTTGTTGATACCTTTGCCTTCCTGCCAGCTTCTGCCAAATTCCAGTTTAAATCAGAGAATTTCTGAAATTAAGTATTCAGTAACTGAAGGAGATGTGGTCCTAGGCATTACAGAGAAAATTTGGCACCAAAGGCCAAAATAACATGGAAAGAACAAAGATAGGTTCCTACACCCTGTACCAAAAAGAGAAGAGCAGTACAATATGTTCTAGCAAACTGGAACAATGTGTACAACATAGAATGAAGCAACTAGATCAGGTGAGTCTTGCATAGCTAAGCAAAAACAATTTTAACCTTCTAAAGACCACCTTCTTCCAAAATGCACCAGGGTTTTGTTTTCTTTTACCAACTTCCACTTTTCTTCCAGTTTCCATTTCGGTGGCCAAACAAATTGATGTATTCTATTTTAATGTTCTGGGGATATTCAATGAGGCAGGCATATCTGGTTTAAGCATTGGACTATGACTCTGGAGATGAGGGTCCAAATCCTGGCTTGGCCATCGAAACTCACTAGATGACCTTTGGTGAGTCATATACACTCTCAGCCCCAGAAAACCCAATTCTTCCACTCTTCTTTTCTCCCCCTCCATCCCTCCATGCTGAGTTAGCTAACTGCAAAAGTGTTGAATGGATATTTTTTTCAGCTAGAAAAAAAAAAAAGACTCACTTTGATGACCATCTCCTGTGGAAAATAAGATGAAGCACTACAACGTCATGCAGTAAGGTACAGAGAAAACTGCTACTCTCAGTCTCCATTTTGTTTTCTCATGCAATAAGTCATTAGATGAAAGGCTCCTTAGCCCATCTTCCTAAGTAAGTGAGAAGGAATAACTTCCCCATTTCACCTTGATATGGGGAGAGACCCCTTAGAAAAGATTTCTCTCCAAGTTTCCAACCAAGGAAATACATTTTGCATGTGTGTGTTTGAATGAAAAGATTAAGTATGATTGGCATGTAATGCATGATGCTTAATGACATCTTCATCGGCTATCCCTTAGTCTCAAGGCTTTACCAGGAAACCTCAGTGCCTGGGACAATCCCAAATTGGCAACCCTACCAGAAACCCATTATTCTGCAATAAAATAACTAACCAATATTCTTTCTTTCCCTAATATGGAACTTGGATGGGCTGTGATCGCAGGCAGGTTTTTTAAGAAATGCACAACGAACATGAAAGTGACAGTATTCACATCCCTACTCATAAAACCAGACACTTAGAAAAACTGTTGAACTACCTTCTTGTTTTGCAGAGGTTTTCTTGGACTGAAAACAGATTCCTTTAAAAAAGAGATGGGGGGGGGAAACATAATTGCTCTTCACTTTGAAGATAAAGGGCCTTGTTGTCCTTTTTCCAGTTCTGACTGCCTAGGACAAGTACAACTTGCCAAATCGGTTGTACTACACGGTGCAAAGGCGTTTATGATGTTGCTGTCAGCACGCTGTCGCCTCATGGAGCAGCGGTTGGAAGACGACCTGGATAAAATTAGCTCCTGGGGCAGAAGCAGTGCAGCAAGACACTGGGACGCCCATCGGCTGAGTGCAGAGAATTAATGGAAGCACACAGCTCTTGGCAGCAGGAAGGATCTCGCCTGGGCCTTTTCCTCTTTTTGTTCGACAATCTGCCCTCAACAATAAGGCCTGCAATGCTCCAGGATTGCCACAGGCTCATCTTTTCAGACACAGAGTCTGCACTAACAGGAACTCAGGAAGGGACCCCTACAATGCCTTTGACCTGCCCTTAAACCAGGAGTATAGCTCCTGGGAGGGCAAAATGGAGGTATTGCTCCCCGCAATAAGAATCCTGTTCTCCTCCAATGAATTTTCCTTTCCCTCCCCACATTTTTAGCCTTGTAGAGAGTGAGAAGTTGATAATGGGAAATACCTAGGATTCTTACACTTGCTGTGTTTACATTCCCTTGGTAATGCTGCATTATGGTTAGGAGGGGATTCAAACCCTGGTCTCCAGTGTCATAGTCCAATGCTCAAATCGCTATGCCACACTGGATATCTGTAATGCAGCTTAATTTCTTCTTAATAAAGAACACGGTCTATTTTTGGTATAGTTTTAAGCAGAAAAGCAAGCATTTGCCTGCCTTTTAAATCAGCAAAAGCAATATTCTGGCAGAGGTGTTGGGCACAGCTTACAGCGGAGGGGAGAGAACCAGCTTCATCTCTCTGTCATGGGTTGGAGGAGAGACCTTGGGCAGAGATCCTAGCATGAGGAAAAGGGGGAGTGTGACCATATAATAACCTTGGAAATGGCAGATAAGTATACATGCTCCCTGTGAAGCCTACATCCAGTTTGCAAATATGGGTCTGCCGCCTGGTAATACAGTTATTATCTACTACCGCTACCTGAGGGCCAGCATAGTGTAGTGGTTTGAGCATTGGACTATGACTCTGGAGACCAGTGTTTGATTCCTGCCCAGCCATGAAACTCATTGGGTAACCTTGGGCAAGTCACATGCTCTCAGCCTCAGGGGAAGGCAATGGCAAACCTCCTCTGAACAAGTCTTGCCATGAAAACCCCATGATAGTTTCACCTTAGGGTTGCCATAAGTCGGAAATGACTTGACGGCACACAACAATAACAACTATTGTGTGTATTGGGAGATCTCATTGAAGGCACACAACACACACACATCACAGCTACCAGAGTGTCCCAGCAAGCATGGCCATTGGGGATTCTGGGAGTTGTAGTCTCTACAAGTCACTTGCTAATTGTGGCATGTGAACTGCAGAATGTTAGGCTGGTGCCAACCTTGTTGCTGTGTGCCCTCAAGTCATTTCTCACTTATGGCAACCCCAAGGTGAACCTATCACAAGGTTTTCTTGGTAGGATTTGTTCAGAGGGGGTTTGCCATTGCCATCCTCTGAGGTTGAAAATGTGTGACTTACTCTATGTCACCCAGTGGGTTTCCATGGCCAAGCAGGAATTCGAACCCTGATCTCCAGAGTTGCAATCCAATATTCAAGCCACTAAACCACACTGGCTGTAATGCCACCCTACTCCCTCCCAAAATGAAGACTGAATGCTGGCATTAAGGCTCAGCTAAGTAAGAGTTATGTGTAACTCAAATGTCTGTCTACATGGCTGGGTCCCAATAGGTGTTTTGTTGGGTGTTTTTAAGTCATTTCCGGCTTATTGCAAACCCAAGGGACACCTAATGCAGGGTTTTCTTGGTAAGAGGGGGTTTGCTTTTACCCTTTTACTCCTGAAAGATGCTTTAACGTTTCAGCATGAGAAAAAGACTGGGGGGAAATTGGGGATTACTTACACAGCTTCTACATTTCTTTCTTTTTAAAAAAATTATTTAAAAAGAGTTTCTTAAATTAATTAAAAAGGGGAAATCCAACTTGGAATCTAGGACCTTCACTGGCTGGCCTTAAACATACAAAGTTGTCTCCTCCCTTAGTGTTCCCTTCTGTAAAATGGGAATAGCAAAGTCTTTCCTAGTCCACAGGTCTGTTGGGGACAGCAAGCAGATGCATACTGTGAAAAAGACTTGGCATAACAAAAGATGAAAAGGTGAATTATAAATTCCTGATTCTCTAGGCTTGGATGCTTAATCTGTACAAGAGGGAAATGGAGGTTTGAGAGATGCCTAAGAAATTCAGCAGAATGAGCTTTTTGGATACATGCTCAAAGAGGTATCAGACTGTTTGTTTCTTGCCAATAGAGTAGGATGTTCTTTGCCCATGCTCAAGATCAGTGCAATTTTCAAGGATCATCTCTATGATTTTAAATAGGTTCACTAAGGATTCAGCCATAGGAGACAGCCATTCTGTCTCAATGAAGCTATATTTACATTTGGTTTTTGCACTTATTTACTATTTAAACCCCAAAAATCCATAATTGTAAAGTTATATTATATTACAGCTTTGAAATATCCCTACCTATTGACACTTGGATCTGGCATTTCAAGATAGATTAGCCTCACCAAAAATAAGAGGAGTAAGAAAATCATTAGGGATTTTTTTAAAACCACTTTTTTTGTCAAGCATTTCAAATCAAAAGCATTTCTATCAAACTTATAATTTATTTGTTCCACAGATCAGCATATGGAATAAATTAGTGCCAGAATACAGCATCATTGCAAAACATCAACATAATCTGTTGCCTGTTAAATTCACAGCAAGAATTGTATGTAAGGCACACAAATATAAAAAGCATATATATTTTTGAAACACACATTCAAAATGGCATTTCGATGTCAAGAGAACTCAATGTCCCAAAGAGACTTTCCTAGTACAAGAAGAAGCTTCTTTTATAAAAAGAAAAGAAGGGGAGGGACACAAACTCCTGTGCAACCCGTTTTAGATAAGAAGAAAACCACAAGGTTGCTTCATGATGTCCCGAAAGCAAGTCCTCTCCCTGGAGCATGTTGTGCATTGAACACAAAGATGATGCGCCCTTCTCTTAGTGCATTTTAAACACATGCAAATAGGCAATGTCATTGATCACTCTCTAATCCCTTTTCATCCCAGAAGACAAGAGAGAGGCTTAAGGAAGGCTTTACACATTCAATAAACAAGTAGCAGAAAAGATTGTCGCAGAGACAGTCGGAGACAGAAACCATGGAGGCTCTTCTTGGCTCCAGCTAGCCGAGAAATATTGTGGCCAACTGTGCCACAGGCTGTCCCTCTCTGCGACTCAGGGATTGCTGTCCGTATGGCTCTTTGGCCAAATTCCTTGGCTCATTTTACAGTTTGCAAGTGTCTGAGTCACTGGGGGAAGCCCAGGGATGCTCATTTTGGAGTGTCCAAAATTGGGACCGAACGCCCACGACCAAGGTCTCCTAGCATCCTTCATCCTGGTGGCAGCTGGAGATACCAGTGTGCAGAAAGCCAATAGGTCTGGCCTAGAGGAGTTGTGTTCATCTCTCCATCCTGTCCTACCTTCTCAAGAACTTCTTCAGTGGACTTTGATGGAGTGCTTTCCAAACTTTAGGAACTGGAACAGCTTCTCTCTGGTCCTCTGCTTCAAAGCCATAAGTGACAGGGCTTTCTCCTCCAAATCTTGGTCAGTGGCCAGGAGAATTTTGGCCCTTTCCTCAGCTTTCCTGTCACCAGAGTTTTTGAAGAGTTTCTCCAAGGACTCTTGGTCCAAGTTCTCGAAGATGTTGGCCAAGGCTTTCTTGCGCAAAGCTGTGTCGAAGCGATAGCCATGGACAGATGGGCTCACCCGCAGGGAGGTCGACATGGTTGGTGGCAACCTAGGGATGGTTTCTGGCTGCTGCTTTCCAGGCAAGATGTCAGCCCCTGAGAGAGGTCTTTCCCTTGGAGTATCTCAGCCAGAGATCCTGTGAAGAACTCCTGGCTACAGCCTGGCTATTTAAAGGCAATTCAGAGGGGAAAGCCTGTGGCTCGAGTTACAGAGATGACATCAGCTGGAGATCAACGCCCAAGAACTACAGGCTGGGTTAACAATTAAACTGCCAAAGCAACCGATCTACTTTCTCTGGAATTGGCTAACTAGGGCTACCTCTCTGGTGGCCAGCTTTTCTGCTGTTCTTGTTGAACAACTACTTCTGCAATGTGGGAGAAGAATTTAGATGCTTATCAGATCCAAGTCTCTGTTTATTATGGGGGATGTGTTTGTTCATTTTGTGTTGCTATGCATTTTGCTTTTTCAAAAAGTACGGTGGGCTCTTGGGATCTACCAGGGTTTGGTTCGAGGACCCCCGTGGATACCAAAATCCATGGATGCTCAAGTCTCACTATGTACAATGGCATGGTAAAATGGTGTTCCTTATTTAACATGGGAAAATCAAGGTTTGCTTTTTGAATCTGTGGTGGAATCTGTGGATGCAGATTCTGTGGATACGGACGGATGACTGCATTCAGTTTGGAGGCAGCTAAGCAAATTGGTTTGGGGCTTTACAAAAACCATTCCCACCCACAGCAAAAATTAGAGCCTCAGGCAGATCAGAGTTTCAGATCAATTCTGTTTTCGGAAGGGGACCTTGCAAACTGTATGATCAAAATGACACTGAAATTTTAAAGGGGAGCCTGAATCAATCCATTGCTAATTCATTTCAGGTTTTTTGTATGCTTGTTGCAGTTGTTATTGTGCCCTTTCAAGTCGTTTTTGACTTATAGCAACCCTAAGGTGAAGCTATCATGAGATTTTGTTTTTTGTAGTCGTTCCTAAACCCATTCTGACCTGATTATGCTTTAAAATGTATTTTTTCACACACACCCACACAAAAAAGTCTGCACAAAGGTCTACATTGTTGTTGTTGCTGCTGTTGTTGTCATCACTGTGCTTGTTGTGGCTATTTACTTTTTTTTATCCAGACATTCCTCCAATGTATATGGCTCTCCTTCGCCTTACTTTCTCCTTATAACATCCCTGTGAGGTATGTTGTTTTGTGAGACGGTACTTAACCAATATGTTTGCATCAATAAATACCAGAACCTGAACTTCACCCAACACTTTAAAAACTACACCACTTTATTCCAGAAAGGTGCTTTTCCCAATGTATTGTCTCTCAAAACAGGGATTTCCAAACAAATATTAATAGGCTGTTGAGCCAATGTGCATGAGATCCAGTAGCTATCTAAATTCTCACTTGCACATAAGTTCAGGAGATGTGTAGTTTGCATCCGAATTCACAAACACTGAATTCCTCAAGCATCTCTAATTAAAATCCAGTGGCAGTTTTTGATCCCAGATACACATAAAGTCCCACTGCAATATATCAGATTGGAAGTACAATACAGTTGGTGTTATACAACCAGCTAGCATTAAAAACTATACGTTCACATTCCCAAATGCATTCTGGTCAAGCTGGAGGGTGGTTTCATTGCATCTTTGTCTTGTTTAATATAAATTCTAGGGCCCAGTTATGTTAATACAGATTGCATTAAACAAAACCATATTTTTATTGCAATAGATTGACTTCACATTGTCTTCTCCTTTTACAAGAGCAAACTCTTTTAAGAATTACTGAAATCACTTCATTTACTACTCAGAGGATCAAACTATTTTAATGAAAAACTTTAATGAAAAGCATTATAATCCAATGCCAAGGGCTCATTTTACTCCCTGTGAATGGAGAACACATTCAGAAATCTTGTGATAACAGAAAATTGAGACTCTTGACTTCTGCTTTCAAAGCTCCGCTGGTTTCTTCATCTGGCAAAGCTGTAAAAAAACTGGGACAAAATGAAGGCTTGTGACTCTAACTTCATCATATTTTGCTTTCTCCTGTATGATTTTTAACAGCTATGCCTGATGAAGAAGCCAGTGGAGCTTGGAAAACTTGCATTATGTCTTTTCTGTGCATTTTGGTGGGCCCCATAAAGATATCAGAGAGCCAGCATGGTGTAGTGGTTTGAGAGCTGGACTTTGACACTGGAGAATCCCAGCTCAACCATGTAAACCCACTGGATGACCTTGGCCAAGTCACACTCTCTCAGCCTCAGAGGGTGGTAATGACAAACCCCTTCTGAAGACACTTGCCAAGAAAACCCCACAATTGCTTCGCCTTAGGGTCGCCATAAGGCAAAAAGGACTTAAAGTCACACAACAGCATTTTGTGGGTTTGAGATGTTTTTTTTAATATAAATTTTATTGGTTAAAACACATAAAACACATAAAACATCTAAAAAAGACACAAATAATCAACAAAACATACAGATAGACATACTTCTATATAACAAACACATGACTTCCTACTCCTAATCTCTTTTCTAGGATTGTTCCAAAAAGATTACTTCTTCTCCTGGAATGTCGAATATATATCATATTTTCAATCCAGCAGGTATCCATTGTTGACAAACTATACAAGCTATACAGATATATTACACTTGTTCATTTATACCTCATAGAAATAGCCTTTCCAAATATTCCCTCATCTAACTGAGGGACTGAATATTAAATAAAAATTTCCTTACTCTCTATAATCTGTTTAGATTGTTCATTTCTCCAAAAAATACCAGAAAGTAAAGACTGGATTATGAAATTGTATGAGTTAATGGAAAATGAT